AAAAATATTGAAGAAATAATAATAAGAAGAAAGAAAAACTAAATTTGAGAACTCTATTATTAAAATTAGTATTCAGGAGTATTAAAGTTATCAATAAAGTGACAAAAAACCTTTTATTCAGTTGTTTAATCCATCTAAATCCCTTTTAATTATCTCTCTATCATTTGATTTAAAAAATAACCTCTATTTAAACATTTTATTTCCTAAAAGATATCTAAAATTGAATTCTTCTTTAACAATATTCCTCTCAGTGCTGTAAAACCCACCCATTTTGGGGGACTAAGCACACACACGTGCTGCATGATCATGTGATTTATGGCTGCACTCCCCAAAAACAGATGATTGCAACTAAGGATTGTCATAAAGATATGACGGAGAAGAAAGCTAACCTTTAGCCGTAGTCGGGGCTAATTTAAATGTTCAAGAAATGCGTTTTTACAGCTTGGTATCTTTACCTGAACTTACATACCGTATGTATATATACTTAGCCCCTTTTTTTTGGCATGCTTGGCTGGCCAACGAAACTGAAATATTTCGGTACTTTTGCTTTTCGACTTTAATTGAGTTGGCGGAGATTGTGTGGCCAAAATGAGAGGTTTCCACTGGCGGCCACGCACGCTGCGCGTCATCACTGTATATACATATGCGAGAGAGTTGGCATGTATCTGTTAATTAGGTTCTGCCCTCGGCGTGTAGGTCTATTTTATTTATAAGCTCATAATTATGTTCTGGCCCCGACTGGATCTTGGACTCTAAAAGGTCATTCAACCTTCGATCAATCATTGAGCTCACTTGGCTCACTTCTTTTGTTTACAACCGCGTACGATATTCCCAACCATATTCCCAACTCTCCTTTCTACACATTCCTGTATCCAGAGTTATATATCTTTTAATAGCCATTATGCGCATTACGCTTCTCGCGGCTAATTAACAGCGCACAAAAATGCGAAAGACTCCTCAATGCCTCTTTGTCCAATTTGGCCAAGCTTAGAAATGCAAATTACCAAAAAAAAGAGAAGCAAAATAAAAATCGCAGCAAATCTAAAAAAGTAAAGACGGACAAAGCGTGATGGACAGTGAAGGGAAGTTCTTTGTTCGGACTCGGGCTTGGATTCTGAATACGAATAAAGCACGGCGGCAGCATCTGCAAAATGTCTAATTAAATGTGCCGAATTTAATGATGCTGGCCTCCTGGCTTAGACTCTGACTCCGGCTCCGGCTCTGCAGTGCAACTTGGCTCTCAGATCGAGTTTCGGTCAAGGTGAAAGTTGCGCCACCTGCCACGAAGCCAGCCTTGACAGATTACCCCCAGCCTCTGCTCTTGGCAGGCCGCGAATTTTTCGTTATTTCTTTTGACAAATTAATTGTGCGGCTAAGCGGCAATTAAGTTGCTCTGGTTATCGGCCCCAAAATATTATGTATATATCTTTGTAAATATATACAAGATGTAACCAATTTGCATGCCACTCGAGTGGAAAGCCTACCGTTGCTGCAGAAGTTGCAATGTCAATGCTTGAGTAAATTGTCTTCAACTCAACTTCATTTCGGGACTTGGAAGCGGGCCGAGAGATGCCACCAAAAGTTTTCTGCTCCATTGAAGCATTCGATTGAGCGAAGTAGAAAGTTGCAGTGGCAGCCAAAGTTGCTATTGCAGTTGCAGTTGCAGCGGCGATGATGGGGAGACACCAACTCATCTGCATTTGAATCGCATGGGGAACTAGGAGACCCTGGTCACCTAACAGTTAGAAGAGAACGGCAACGGGTTTGGTAGCTAGCCACACACAAAAAAGGTGTCATAAGCGGCAGCTAATGGGGATGGATGGATACCTCCAAGCCAAGTTATAAGCCGGTAAGATGAGGTTCCACTAGTCTTAATCAATGGCACAGCTAGGAGTTCCCCTTTTTGTCTAAGCCTCTGGCTCTCTGCCTTGCAGAGGAAGTTTTAGAACCGGTTAACTGCTTTCTGATGACACTTACAGTTATAGCCAAATAAAAGCCAGCGAGAAGACGTTGGCATCTGTGACTTATGTAAAAGTTTTTGGGGGTTAGAGGAATTCCAAGGGGCCTAAACAAGACAAATACTGGGGAAAACAGTTTAAGAAGAAGAGAATTTATTTCAAAAAACTTTAGTAAATATAAAATAAAATTTGCAATTAAATAACAAGACACGAATATAGACTTAAATAAAATAATTAAGCAGAACAAAAATGTAAAGAAAATTTGTTGGAAAAGGCTTCAGAAATAGGTTGAATTTAAGCTAATTTAAATCATAAGTTCAAGAAAATATCACATTTAACCAAGAGTTCGCTAATCCCTATATTTTCCCTTAACGTTTACCTTAAATTTATGCAAAAGATGAAGCCAAAAAACTCACTGGTATTCACAGAAATGCCAAAATGCCTTTTAAGAAGAAGTTCATCAATAAAGAAGTCAAGAAACAGACTTTATTATTATTATTGAATTGCTTAAATTCGTTGATGACTTGCCATTATTCTCTGGGGTTCATTTGGGTTCAGAAGTTCATAACAAGCCGAGCAAAATTTCATTATTACATTTCTTCTCTTTGCTTTTCGTTTCTATTTTATTTTATTTTTCTGCCAGTCTCTTTCCGGTTCAGTTTCAATCTTATCTAGTCGTAACTGCAACAGTTGACCTTTAATGGCATCTGCGCCACCATCTCCCCGCTGGCCATTACCAGCCAGAGCTGCGAACGAGGCGTTAACCTGGCGTGGGCTCAAAGCCGGAGCCAGAGCCAGAGCCAGAGCCATCTCCACCGTCATCTCCATCTCCATCAGCGTCATCATCTCCGGAGATGTCGCCGCTGGTTGCCGTCCGTCTGTCCCCAACGATGAATGACAATTTGCAAATGGCTCTGGGTGCATAATTTATGCAGATGCAACTGCAACTGCGGCAAAACAGCAACTGGAGCTGCTTTTAACGCGTTGAACTTGTTATGAAGGCAGTGGAAAAGAGGGGAGAGATTCCACAGGGGGACCCGGGTCTGCTTCGCCCATGCATATTCAAACGCCATAATCCCAACGGTATTTTAATGCTAAATGCTTACTCACTTCAAGCTGCAGAGCTGGGAGCTTGGCTAGAAAAACCCGTTTTTCCAGTAATGACCTTCGGTGTTGTTTTATTATCACTCCCGCTTCCGCTCCAGCTCCCAGCTGCTCCTCCCCCCGCTCTTGGCCAGTCTCTGAAATTCCGCTGAAAGACCAGGTTAACGCAGTTGTGTTTGCTTCAATTACCATTTTCGGGCTAACTCACAAGTCCAACGCAAGTGCGGTCTTGCCAATTTCAATTTAATTAGCCAACAGCAGGCAGCAGCAGAATTTCTCTCACTAACTCCATTAAGAATATATATACAAACAATAAAGCTTGGTAGTATATGTATATGAAATCGGTGCAGATTGACAGCTGAACTGTGGCTGCTGCTCGGGGCGCTGCTGAGAAGTTAATTAAAAGCCACTTTCGAATCGGAATCGATAAGCCACATTATAATGCTGCATGCAATTTGCATTCAATGGCTGTAAGCAGAAACAACAAGTGCTCCCAGGGGTGCGGTTAAGATTGGCTTTATGTTGGCAGTCTACAGTGGGCAGCAGAGGGTTAAGAAAGCGCTGAAAAATCAATAGATATGGCAAGCATTTATAAACTAAGTAAGGAATAAAGCCATATTTTTAATGCAGGACTAAGAAATATTCATATTCATTGCATATTAGTATCTTTCTTTAGCTGGAAGATTCTAAAAGTATCCAAAAGCACAGAAAATTATGAATAAAGACATGCTTTCGTAGTCTTATCATTACCAAAAGGGTCTAGCAGTTTGACAATTGTTGAGTGCTTTGTTTGGGTTGATTAGTACATTCTCTTATAAAACAAACCTTTCCCTAACACCCACAAATAATTTATTAAAAGTTCTCATAAAATATCCTAATCATGCTTTAAAATCTTAATTAAAATAAAATAATATACAATTATCCACAGCTGTAATAAATATTCCAACTAATCCCCTGTCCGTGCTTTGTTCATAAATTTTTCTATACGCCCCCGCATCTCTGATCCCATTTAATTGGTCTTTTTTACTCGCTAAATATGCTAATAAATATTAACTCCGCCATATTCAGGTCTGATCACTCTCAGGGGCGACCTTGCAGCGGTCACTTTTTATCACTTGGTGCTAATTGACAATAGAATTCAGCCAGTCTGCCTGCCAGTGCCCGGTAACCCAAGAAAAGAACGGACAAGTGCGCCATAAAAGCCAGCCAAGTTGGCCAGGTTAACCTTGATGGAGCAGCGCAGCTCTCCTTTATCGCTTAAGTCGCCGCCTTCGCCTCCGCCGCAGTCACCTCCCGCTCGAGTGCATTTAAAACCGGCTGCAACTTGTTCTGGCCAAGTCAAAACAAGCCAAGCCAAGCCAAACCGGCCAAGACAAGAGAATGACAATAAATATTTTGTAGCTTATGCAGAGCTCGATTTCAGCCAGTCGCGATTTTGCCGGCGATTAAATGCCCCGAAATGCCAACCATTTTGCTAGCCACGTAAAGGGGGCGGTGAGTTGGCCGGCCAACTGCAGCTCATAAAATACGAGCTTTCGACGTGCATTGAATTCGGGTCATTGGTTGGCCAAAAACTGCTGCCCGTGGAGGTGGAAGAGGGAGTTAAGGTGGCGCCGTTTTGTAATTCGATTTTGAGTTACGCGAAGCGAAATTGGCTAATTTTGCATGCGCGCCCACAGGCCATTGAACTGCAGTCCAGCGGTCACAATTTTTATGTTATTTTCCCGACAATTGCTTAACATTTGGACGGGTAAGGGGTTGCATAAATCAGATTTGTAAAATAATAAATTACTATTAAAAAGAATGCTAAGTTAGGATAGAATTAAGACTGTGCTCAGAAATACAAGTAAAATGTATAGACCAGTAGGCTTTAATATAAACCTTAGTAGTGTTTGCAAAAGCATTAATACTAACTAAAACCTCTCATTTATCTTGCAGATTGTAAAAATCCAAATTAGAAGCTGAGGAAAACCACACGAAGGAGCCAAAGTTCAAGCAGGTAAGCGGGGAAATTCACACAGTGTGCAGAAATGCGTAACGCAAAATGTAACTTGGTAAGCTCGTTGGTATTTTCCATAATTTACACTTTCGTTGTGGGGCCAATTGGCATGCCAATTGGAGGAGGAGTTGCAGGCTCCCAGGCTGCATAAAACACTGGTAATTCGAGGCGGCTAACAAGGTGTTGTCAGGTGTCTTAGTGGGGGTGGAGGGACCAGGAAATGGCATGCAGAAGATTGCCAATGCAACTGGCAACCTGTTGAACAATGGCTTTGGCAACACGGCAAGTTGTCCTAAACGCCTGCCAAACTGTTGCTGCCAGTGTTGGCCTTTAATTATCGACTATAATTGGCAAAAGCCATGTGTGTGTGTATGTTAAGTGACGCAGAAATTATGCGAATGCCAAATGCCAACGAACTCGGCTTCAGAAAATCGCTTTCGCTGCGAAAATTGGATTGTTTTGGGCCAGAAACTTAAAGCTTGAGAAACTTTCCATTGTGCTAGAAGGCTAGTTTTCAGGTCTCTCCACTATATACATATATCCTATAATGCAAAGATAAATCTAATTTCATACCATATTTATTGTACAACTCGACCATAAAAGCTGTAGAAGCGGCAGAAATGCCACTCCATTGTTGATGATGAAGACAGAAGCAACCGCTGTCCGCGGTCACAACTGAACAGATTTTCAGATTTACTTTTCCAAAACAAAAAAACCAAATATTGTATATAAAATGAGAAGAAAACGAAACTGAGGAAGACGCAGAAGAAATGGCAGCTGCCGGGCTGCATTCGACAGCGTTTAGTCTCAGAGATTTGCTTTCGACTGATGGCGAACAATAAAACTTTCCATTTCTAACAAAATTACACTCGAGACGAGACGACTCGACGACGACTCGGCGAAGACAAAGCCAGACAAATTTATCCAGTTATCTGATGTTGCCGTACTCATCTCCTCGTCACTCCACTTACCTTAGCCTGCTGCCCCGCTGATTCCCATCTGACGGGGGAATTTGTTTTCAGGAATTTGGTGTATTTTTTGCGACGCAACGACAACTCCCACTCGGGGAACTCGCATGGAAATCTCAGCAGCGACAGCGGCAGCAACATGCTCGTAAATGTTGCATGTCATGTGGCACAATTCCGATTCCAGTCGCCGTCCATTCCATTCCCCCAGGTGACATGTTGCACACGTGTGTGGCAACCAACACCACACACCACATTATGTGCTATCTGATGTCCGATGTACAGCCGCTGCCCCGCTGATTTGTGGCACCGTTTATGTGGCGGAACTGTTTATTAATTAACGAGCGCATTTTGGCCTTATTCTGTCGGCATTTCTGGCCTTCCATTAGGTGCTAAACTGTGTTGGCCCAGCTAATGTTAATTGGGCTAAATGAGCCGCTGGCATGCAACGTTCTCAATCAGCTGCAGCATATATAGTATTTTCCCCCATAACTCCAGGTGATGAAAGGTAATGGTTTTGAAAATGGTGCATAATATATTGCACATACCAAAACTAAAGCCAAAACACAATGCTTTTAAAGTTTTTATATACATACATATATCTGCAAGCTTTAATAGGGAAAGCATTAGGTAATCCCACAACACGAGGAGATAAAAGGTAATGACTTGGAAAGTGTTTATAAGGAATTTGCATAAACAATTCGCTAAGAGAAGATATTAAATGCTGGGTATAAGCGTATAACTTATAGGGGAACAAGTTAAGAATGTTTGCCATTAGGTAATCCTATTAATAATGAAAACTTATTGGGTATCTGTACATTTATCGGTGATTAATTTGAAATTAATCAGCCTAAGTTAGGTAGTGAAAAGGCAAAGCAAATAAACAAAATTATATCCAGAGCTTGGCTTCTCTGGGGAATAAATAAATGAATATAAATGAATCTATTTAGACATTAAAACTAGTCTGGGCTTACTTGTCTTTTCCTCTATGCAATCCTTTATTTATTTAAAATTAATAATTGAATTATGCTTTATATTGAGTGTATGTAAAGGGCTTATAATATTCATTGATTGTATGACAGTAATCCCTTGACCAGTTATAACTCATATATGAGGAATTTATAGAAACGTAATGAAGTTCATTGAAATTAATATTTAATACTGCTTAATTCTTCTTGAATTTAATATATATGGAAAAAATATTACATTAAATACAGCGATATGTACAAGCTGAGTGAAGTTTGCTTATGTATGATATAAGCTATACACCAAGGTACCTATAAAAAAACAAACTACAAATGAACCTTTCTTGGATTCAAAACAATAGTTTTTTTCGAGTGTAGCTAAGACCGCTTCTGTCTAATGGCTGTTGCCTGTCAAAATGATAATGGGTTTTTTGGTATAGCTGCCACTGGATGGAGCGCCGCGATAAGTTCCCCAACTAGCCCCAGACTCCGCTCGAACGGTTCAATTGAAACTGTCAATTGCAGTTGGCCAGGCACACTCACTCTCCCCGCCTTACCAATTTTGGTGTAGGCGAAACAGTGAAAGTTGTGGCCATGATCGGGGGACATGGTGAGGCGTTGCTGGGGTAATTAATGCCAATTAAATGTCAAACAACAGAAGCAAATAATATTGTACTGGGGCGTGTCCCTGCTGCAAATTCAATTCAATTTTGCTGACCAAACTTTCGATTAATTAAGCCAGGTTCAAAGCCCAACCAGCACAACCAGCCGGTTCAATTGATTTAATTTCCCAAGAGCCAAGAGTCCGCTGCACTTTCTACGGCCAACACACAAAAGGAGGAAAACCACTGCCTCCCTTAGACGTTGGTTCAACAAAAAAAAGGGTTATTTATGATTATTTAATGCAACTTGGCTGATGCTGCAGGTTCAATGCCCAAAGACAAAACGCGGCAAACGCGAATGCGAATGCAAATTGATTCGTGCAGTTGAGCCCGCCAACCTTTCCTGCTAACTTGGCTAATTGCTTGTCGCTGTCAACATGTTGCTGCTGCTGTTGCTCTCTTTTGTTGGCTCTTCCATTGAACTTTGAACTTGGCCAGGAGGCCCTGCAGTGGTTTACTGACTTTCTTTTGTTTCTCATCGCGCCAGCTGACAACACTTGCAACGTGCAACGTGCAACGTGCAACTGGCAACTTGCAACGACTAAAACCTAACGGCAGCCACAAGAGCAATTGCGGCAGCTGCCACTCCATCCAGCATGTGTGTGTGTGTGTTTGCCCCCCTGTCTTTTGTCTCTACCCAGACATTGTTTGGCCTTGCAACAGTGCGTATACGTAATATGTGCAGGCCATTGTTTTACCAAACGTTGCAAGCAATTTGTGCTTAATAACCAGTGGGTACCATCACTCTGCCAACAAGAAGTATTCCAATGGCATTTCAAGAGATCAATTCAATGAGTATTGAGTGGTTAAACGTCATCAAGAATACATACATCAAATTTTGAGCTAACTCCATATACATATATATAACCTGTTGTGGCTTTGTATGAACTTTATTTGTTTTCGGCAGTATTTCGCTTTTCCGAATAACCAAATTCAATACAGATGTTGACCTTTGGCATACAATTACAGCGGCAAACCCTTCACTCCCCGGATTCTCTACTTAGGCAATTGCTAGACTTCGACAAGCCGTGTTTGCTGCCTCACCTCACTTGTTCTCTGACTCAAGCTCGGCTGGCGAATGGTTTGCATTTTGTATTTGCTATTTCATATTCTAATTGTGCAATAAAAGTCAAGCACAAGCAGGCATTCATAATTCACCAATGGGACGTAGGAGACCGCGACCGGAATGAGTTGGCCCGAAACCCATTTCGGGGCAAACAGGTGGTGGTGGTGGTGGAGGCACAACAGAGGCAGCAATTGTTCTGCCTTTTGGGCGTTTATTGTTCTGGTCAAGATCTCATTGCCAAATCCGCAGACGAAGCCCCAAAAAAAGCAGCAACAGCAGCAGCAGCTGTGTGTGGAAACCGCATTTAAACAAAAAGTGTGTCCCTGCCGCATGAGTCATGGCAGTTGCCACAGCTACAGCATTGCTAGCTGTCTTGTTGCAACTTGCAACTCCTGACAGGCAACAAATTGGCCAGCAAATTGGGGGAATTGTGGCCTGACCTGAAACCAAAAACTATCCCACGCAACAGGTTTTTCGCCTCGTTTTATCGCATGTGTCCCCAAATGGAAAAGTTCTTGTCCACCACAACCACTCGCCGTCATTAACTAACTGTGGACCCGAAAAATCGTAAAATATTTTAATGGCAAGTTATTAAAAATTAAGCAACGACGAGAGGAGAACAGGGGGTAAAAAAGTTACGATCTCCAGCTGTTGTTCCGGGGAAACGGAGGAATACAAAGTTGAAATCCAGTACGACACATTTCGAGAGGCGATGTACTTAGTACTTTTTTTGTAATTAAGCAAGCTGTTGCGGCAACACATGTGCGTGCTGGCAAAAAAATAAATAAAAAAAAGGAGCAAGAAAAGAACAAGCAACAGGCTGCGGCATTAACTTGGTCCCCTGGCAACAGTTGCATCAATGGATGCGTTTCATTTATTAATTTGCACTCTCTTGTTGCTGGCTTGCCGGTTTCTTTTCTGCAATTTCCGTTGGAGGAGTGGAGATGGAGGTGCCTTCTCCTCAGCTTCCTTCTCAGCGCCGCCTTGGTCTCTGTAGTCTTTGTCTGCGTCACGCAACAGCAAATGAAAACGAAGACGACATGGGAACCTAACCTTGAAATACATGTTTCTTTTAGTCGGGCACCCATGCCTCCTCCGAACTTTATGCCTTATTTATATTCTGCAATACAGAATTACACTTGAAAAAATATATCCGGAATAATATTAAAAGGTTATATAAGCTTGGGTATTTATTAATTTTAAATTTATTAATTTGTCTTAAATTCTGTTAACAACTTTTAGAGGTCAGAATATTTTCATAGAGATTCTGTTGACAGAGAAACCCTTTTCTCAATTAGAAAAATGATGCAGTCTTAATTTATTTTCATAAAAATTCTTTGAT